TGGGAAGGTTGAAGGACACCATCAAGCAGAGTACTTCTGCAATCGACAGTCCGACAAGGATTGTGTCACGTCGGCCTGCAGGAGATCAGGGAAAAGATTGTCACTGTCTTGCAGTGGGAAATTTGCAAGAACGATGCCTGGCTGCAATTCGAGGGCAGGGATTCTGCGGACCTGACACATCACATGATTCTTGTCCATGTTGTTGCGGACTGTCAGTGGTCAAAGATTGTTTTGGCACAGTCCTGGCCAAGGTTTGCATCCCTTGTTTAGTCATTTCTTGCATCTTCGCCGTGCTACACCACAGGCCCATGTCGGAGTCGAGAACTTCGGTTATAACGGGCAGCAACGCCGGTTACAATCATTCTTGAACGATTCAGGCTACCTCGTGTCCAAACACCTCTGGGCATAACAACAAGCCCTTCGTGTTCTTGTTACTGTTTGCCTGGCCGGATGTGTCGCCAGATGTCGGTTTTCACGCACAGAAGCACAATATCCGCATATTATGGGGGGGGGGGGGGGTGNNATATATATATACACATACATATACTTCTGTAGGCTGTTCTTGTGACAAGTCGTCTTACCATGCTGGGGAGGGCTCATTGGCAGCAACCACCTGCCGGACCCTGGACTGCTGGCTGTTTTGCACCGAAGTGCTTTGGACCCTTCGAGATTTTTCGGTTTCTGTTCTTTCTTTCAGCTGCTCTTCAGGATGCCGATGCGGCGAAGGACTGTGCAGAACTAGTCCTGCTGAGAGGTTGAGTTCAGGCTAAGCAGGCCTTGCGGCAGGATGTCTCGCGGCATGTAGGATTGGTGCTTAGACTTGGTGAGTCATGCAAGCAAGCAACAGCTTCCGACCACAAGCCGTCAAGCTACGCATGCTTCATCATGCTTCCTTGCAATCGTAGCAGCTTCCCGTGCCAGCCAGCCCCCCGGCCCTCCCGCACCCACTCACACATACACATTGATGCTCTCGGCTAGGCCTCATAAGACCTCGAGTGTCTGGCTCTATCTGCCAAGCTTGCAGCACCATTCGCTGCGTGCTCGGAGTGTCTTATGTACCCCTTCGTACCACCAACTTTGACGGCAGCCAGGAGTTCGATCGCACCGTTGACTTCATCCAGGCTTCCTTCAACGACGGAGCTGTGCACAGAAATCCATAACCAAATAGTTAAACGTAGCTAACCTGACGTATGTCTGCAGGTCTCAGCTTCCATGTTCATGCCGAATTCGCAAGACTTCTTTCTAGTCAGGAGACATTAGAGTTTCGTCCTGCCGCATCGATCTCACTTGTACTCTGCACGAAGCCTTGGGCTGAGACTCTTGCAGCTCATATGGGACTTCCCGAAGTTAGGGGCACGGCCACGCAGCAACAAGCAGAGACCCCAGAAAGGGAACCCCCCCTCTGCATCTTTAGTCCCATGGCCAGGCCCTGATCGCGACAGCTCGGAGGATGGACTCGACCGGCCCAGTCTGCCAGGCTGGCAGCCCGAAGTGTGTGCAGTGTAGCTCGGCATTTCTGCAACACATCAGGTTTGAATCAGCCGAAAGTCTCCAGAGCCGAAGTATCCAGCGTGTCCACTTTGGCTTCCAGAGCTGTGCACCTCGTGTTGATTCTCGTTTGGATCCGGGCACTGCAGAAAATTCATGAGACTTTGACATTAGAGTGCTCCTGAGCGTTCCATGGATGCCCTCAGGAAGGAGTGCATGCTCTGCTCAAGCGCTCTCCAGTGGGGGTAAGGTGCTCAGGACTTCTTGTCCCAATTGCAACACTGCAATGATGGTTGCGATTGCAAATGTGAGAATGATGGTGTTGTTGCTAATGATGATGTTGTTGTGAGTGTGTTCGACGATGACGATGATGTGGACGAGAACGACGGCGATGTCATCTTGTGCTGTTCACATTGGTCTTCGTTGTGATGACGGCTGTGAGTATGGTGATGATGATGATGATGACGAAGATGAAAAAGATGATGATGGTGGTGATGACGACGGTGAGATTGATGAGGACGATGACGCTGACCCGCCGGCGGCGATGACAACGATCACGTGGTGTTGTTGTTGATGGTGGTCGTGATGGTGCGACGATGCTGACGATGAAGGTCATGATGAACATGGGCCCGTCCAACTATCCCTTCAACGAGACCTACGCCACGCTGATCCCTGCCGTGGCCCCAGATGGGTCTAGCAGTCTAGCAGCTGTAACCCCTCCGGAAACTGACTTTGCAAGCCGCTGTCAAAATCCTCTCGATGCTTGAAAATCATTCGGCTGCAGGTGAAGCGCTGGGCAACGCACTGACATCAGCAAGCTAATCGAATTACGCAATCGAAATTGCAGATCAACAGTTGACGGTCATGACCGGTTCGGACGTGAAGCCCATGGGGGCCCTCTGCCCAGGCACTGCTCATTGGGGACTCTGTGGTCATGAAGGTGCCAAATACTGGCGGCCTCGCACACTTCCTGACGATGGAGGTCGCTGGGGGATTGCGGCATTGCTGGTTGCTGTTCCGGCAAGGGGGCGGGGCTGACAAGGAGAGAGCGACGAAGACAGGAGTGACAGGAGACGAAGCTAGGCACCAGGCTCCTAAACTGCTTTCCAACAGCTGACAGTTCGCGGCCCTGACGGCCTCCTAGAAGTCTCTGTTGAAGCCCATGGGCTCGGTTTTTGGGATCTTGGATGCCAGGCCTATGCCGAGTGCTTCCCTGCCGGTGTAGTGAACTTCGTCTCCGGCCGCGGCCGCGACACGATGCCGCCCGGGGCCCCGGGGGGACTAGGAGCCGCCTGGCTCCTTCTAGGCAAGGCATGGCTCATCTCTTTACAATAGTACGCTGTAGGACTATAGGCTATAGTATATTATTTATGGTATAGTATACTACAGGCTCCACATAGTATATTATGGTATATCAGAGTGTGCTACAGTATGACATTTGAGTATATTGTGACTTCGGCCGTTTGTCCAAACAAGTTCCTGCGGCCTTTGATGGGAGAACTCGAGGCCCGAGGCCGGCTAAAAACGTCCCAGCGATCGGAAGTCGGAAGCCGAAGAGACCTCCAAGCTCATCCCAAGACTTCGGTAGAGAGGTCGCAAGCCATCGCAAGCTCGCTTCTGCAGAGGCCCTGCATGGAGTCCGGGCTGGTGGATATCTTCGCCTTCATCGGCTCCTCAAAGGCAGCGGATGCGCTTGTCAAGGCAGGCCGCGGCTGGAGCTCCGTCAGTTTACCGGCTTGTTCTGTATGTAGCAGACGCGCTGCGGCATCTAGTCGGCAAGAAGTTGACAGATCAAGAAGGCATGCAGGTGTGTCTAAACTATGTGCATGGCTGGCCACCTTCCGCCCACGTCGTGCGATGATGACTTCGTGTTCGGTTATTTTAGGGCCTGGCATTCGCTGTTAGAGTTGTGCAGAGACTGCTTGAAACAGCAGGGTGCTGTAACAAACTATTTTTTTGACAATTCAAGGTTCGTAGCGAGGGGCAAGCATAGACGTGTAGATGCACAAGTATACATGCGTAGGATACATACGCAAATCGTCTCTATCTCTTTGTGCGTTCACGTACGCATGCTTCTTTCCAAAGTCATTTAGTCGTTGAGCTCTCCTGCAAGCGAGCAAAATGAGTAAAATCTACAGGAGGTGCCATGGATGTTTCTATGCAGCCAACGTCATGTTCAACAGTGTTGTGGCGCCTTGAAAGTTGTACATCATCGGACGTATGACGATCTGTCGTGTGGTATTTTTAACCTTATACCCTTGCCCCGGGCTCCAACACCTCCCCCCCGCCCTGCCTTAATCGCCAGTCTTCAATGTTCGCTCTCCAGGCACACCCACAGCCACATCGCTTGAAAAACCTGTTGTCCCTGGATGCGAAGAACTTGGCCATCGCGCTTCAGCTGCACTGTTAAGCTACTTGGCTTGTTTGACAACCATGGCCTGTAGCAACATGCCGCATCCTCTCTGCAGCTGCTCAAGCGCAACCCGTAGGACATGGCAGGGCTAGGTTGGGCATACCGCTCACAGCGGACAGCAATATCTCATGTCCATTCGCGTGACCATTTCTCTCCTGAGCGGGAGATCTGCCGAGGTCGAGGCTGGGGATGAGTGGCTGGTAGATGAAGTGCAGCAGTCTGCCCAGAGCCTCCTGAGTGTAAGAGGCAGATTGCGGAGCTCGTCTGGATCAGTCCTTGACAGGCATATCACAGTGACAGAGGCAGGGTTGCAGCACGGAGACATGTTGATGCTACATGCCGAACCTCTTTCTATGGCAGCAACCTCTGACACTTTCGCTGCAGTCCGCGGCGATGGAGCCCTGGTGAGTTGGGGCAGAACAGCCGGAGATCAGCCCGTTCAGACCACTCTACCTGTGGGCCCAAGGCCGAGCCGCCACCAGGACGCGTTGCAGGATGTGCGGCAGGTCCGGGCTACGACCTTTAGAGAGAAGGTCGAAGGCGGGGGTTTCGCCGCTCTGCTCATGGACGGATCTGTTGTGACTTGGGGTGATAGGGCGCGGGGTGGGTGCAGTAAAACCGCGCAGAAGAACTTGCGAGACGTGCGGTCCCTTCATGCCAATGACTTTTCTTTTGCTGCAATTCTCAGCAGCGGATCTGTGGTGACTTGGGGCCACCCCTCGTACGGAGGTGACAGTACCGGAGTAGCAGACGCCCTTGTCGACGTGCAGACGGTCCATGCCACGGCTCGTGCTTTTGCTGCTCTACGAGCCGATGGGAGCGTGGTGACCTGGGGTTCGCCTGATTCTGGTGCGGACAGCCGGGAAGTCCAGCACAGTCTTCGAAGTGTGCGGCAAATACAAGCGACTCGCCATGCCTTCGCAGCTGTTTTGACCACTGGCTCTGTGGTGACCTGGGGCAATGCTGCCTTTGGTGGTGATAGCAAGGAAGTCCAGGTCCAGCTGAGTCACGTAAATCAGGTCGCATCCACGGATTTTGCTTTCGCTGCTTTGCTTGCCGGTGGGTCGGTGGTGACTTGGGGTTCTCCGTTCTTTGGTGGTTTCAGCAGTGGCATCCAGGAAGAACTAAAAGCGGTGCGAGAGGTGCACTCGAACGACTTTGCTTTTGCAGCTTGTCTTGAGAATGGGTCCATTGTCACCTGGGGGACTCCGTCCAGCGGCGGCAACAGCAGCGCCATACGGGATCAGCTCCAGAATGTGCAGCAGATCAGTGCATCTTCCGGAGCATTCGCTGCCCTTCTGGTAGATGGATCTGTCGTTACTTGGGGCAACAAAATGGATGGGGGGGACTGCAGTAGGGTGAAGGACAAGTTGAAGCATGTTCAGCAACTGCACGGCGGGCCTCATGCTTTTGCTGCAGTCCTGGGTGATGGATCTGTTGTGACCTGGGGTGATCCTGCCTCTGGTGGTGATAGCAGCTCTGTTCAAAACCAGCTCAAGCCTCCTTCGCTGCCAAGACGGGTCCGGACTGCTCCGAGTGACGGCAATGGAGGCCGCCCTAAGTACCTTCGCTCCTCTCTGCTGGGCCGCAGCAAAACGAGGAGTCAGTTCCATCGTTGTCGTGCTCCGCTTGCAGTGCAAACTAGTTTAGCCCGAACCCAAACCAGATATCTCCATGCATCACTGAACCGGGTTGAATTGAATGGGCAGCTCCAGTGTTTTGGCAGTGAAGCCTACAGTCGTCGGTGTAAAGGTACAGTCGTTACAAGATCCAGCTACCACATTCTTTGCATGTCCTTTACCAAGTCGGTTCCCGGTCAGTGCCACCACAGAGAGGCAACAAAGAACACGCGAGTGAGAAGCGCGGACATCGATCCAGGGCTGTCAGACGCCGACAATGACTCCTTGCACTGCTAAGATCTAGCCTTAATTTGGGGTTGGAGCATCCATAGATGCCGGCTTCTTGACTCACCCGTGCCACGTAGTCGACCGAACCCGTGCTGTTTGTGTACTGCTCCCGAAGTCCGAAGACGGTGGCGGGGCCTACCGAGATACTTCTTGGTTGGCTGCTGAGGTGATGCCAGACGCGGACATCGATCTTGCGGTGAAGGACAGTAGCATGTAGTGAGTGTAGTGCAGACGGGTCACCGAGTTGATCTCGTGAAGAACCACCTACAAGTTTGCAACAGACAGAATCGAGAGCCAGCTACTCGTACCTTCAGTGGCCAGGAATGCCTCGCCGGCAGCACATCCTTCAACGGCCAGCGATGCACAGCCATCAAGCTCCCAGCCTGCAAGTGTCTCCGTACATTTGCTGCCGGCTTGTCGGGCTCTGCGTGTTGGAACTTCAGGAGAGCTACGTGCGACCCAAGCGAGCTTGCCCCGAAATTCACAGTGCAGTGAAACATCCCGAGAAACAGGCGAGCAACAGTCTGAACACCGAAAACCTGAAATCATTGCACGGAGGGACTGGCTCGCAGATCGAGTTGTGAGAACTCTAACGTCCGATTTATTCTACCAGTAGCATCTTATTGCATGTGAACTGAAGCAGCAGTCGGACTGTCCGGGCATGCGCATGGATGCCTCCCAAAGCCAAGGGCAAAGCTAAGGCCGTCGCCAAGGTAGGGGTGAAGGCGGGTGCAAAGGCCAAGGCAGCCCGAGTCCGCGCGGCCGGGAGGGCGCCTCCAGCGCCTGCCCAAAGAGCGATGCTTCCAGGCCCGGGAGCAGCGCCGGCACGGCCCATGGTGGAGCGGCTGGGAAGGCTCATGAGCCTATCGTACCAGATCAGCTACCTGCAGAAGCTCGTTCAGGGACCAGGCCCTTTGGCAGATCAGCGGCTGCAAGATCTTCAGGGGATGCTGGCAGACATGAGTTGGATAATGGGGTGGCAGCAGCGAGCTCAGCTCCTGTACCATTTGCGGAAGTTTTCTCCGGCCCCGGAGAATGCCGCAGCCTGGCAGCCAGTCCGTGACGACGCGATTGCGAGGGTGGAGGCACTCCGCTTTCCTGAAATCTCTCCAGATGGAGCAGTGTTGCTGGAGCTTGTTACTGATGGTTATGGCGCCAGTGTCGCAGCAGCCATTGCGATGCCGAAGAGGGAGTGGCAAGAATTCAAGGCTCGGGTTCTCGCACTGCCAGATGAGTCCATATCAAACGAGGCCCTCGGAGGTCGCACTTCTGACGAGTGTACCACTAGCCATGCTATGGTCAATGGATTTGCGGAGTATGAGGATCCAGTGCGAGTGGCCGGCTTTCTCAACGCCTTCCCGGACGGAGCATTCGGGACGCCAGAGGTCCTCGGCGCATTCGCCAACTTGGCGCAATGACGCCCTGGGACAACTCGCACATCCTCGGGCCTTCCTGCGCCTTTGCCCGGAGTCAAGCAGGCCGGTGCTGCTTGAAGCTCTCAAGCAACGGCTTTGGCGGCATGTCCTTTGCGCTTCACATCACGGATCGCATTCCTAAACCCTGCAACATGCAGCTGTTGCCGATGACAGACGGGCCTGATGTGGGGTTTGCCCGTGACAAAAAAGCGGTTATCATGCTGTCCTGGGATAAGGAGACCCCAGCATCGCTGGAAAAGCCGAGCGTGCGCCATGGCGATGCAGATTGACAAGAAGGGCCTTCAAAGTTGTGACCTCTACTCTACTAGTCTTCCAGGTTTCCTGAGACCTCGCTCCAACAGACCCAGGCTGAAACTTAAAACACGTCCTGAGTTTGTAGCTGTCACATGAAACATCATGAAACCAGATTCAGGTTTGCCCCAGAAGAGCCCGAGTTGAGAAACTCCGCGCTTCGAGGCTCATCATGGCCCATCGGAGTATCGCCGAGACGTTCAACCAGAAGTTCTGCGCAGCCATTGGAGGCTCGGGTGTCCAGAGTTTCCAGCAGCTGCTTCCAGTGACATGTTCTACTAGGAAATTTTGGGGGGCATTTCAGCCTTTTCTCCTGGCTGCTTGAGATCTCGGATCCCAAAATGCGCGCATTGGATGCGGAGCCAGGATGCAATCGGGTCTCTTTCAGGTCGCAACTGCGTCCAATGTTCGCATGAAGATTTCTGGAAGGAGCAGCTCCGAGCTTTCGGGACTGCTGTTGCTGTGCCAAGGTCTGTCAGTGGGCCTTCCTTTCGGAAAGAACAATGTCACTCCGATGGCCACTGGGCTTTGGTAACAGAGATAGACGATTATTTGCAAAACGATGCTGTAGTGACTAGTGGTGCCCATGGAAGCAGCTGGAAGACCTGCTGCAGAGAGGCTAGATGAGACCACTCACGATGATGCTGCAACTGGTAGAGATTGGCACCAGGCTCTTGCATCCTCCTCCCGACTAGCTTCGTCACTATTATCAAGGAACATGATCGTAACGGTCATCATCACCATCGTCTGCATCATCATCACCAGCATCTGCATCAGCATCGTCGCCCTCCTCCCTCCTCATCATCCTCACCATCCTCATCCTTATCATCATCGTCATCATCCTCATCCTCATCAGCATCAGCGTCATCCTCATCCTCATCAGCATCATCGTCATCATCAGCATCATCATCATCATCACCACCATCATCATCATGACTGTCGTCACGTCATAGGTCGTAATCCTAAGCAAGACCACATGCTGGCTCTGAACACTAACCTACCCCGTAAACTGTGCAAAGGGAGCGAGAAGACTGACAACTCAAGCAAACTGGACCAATGGGCACAGCAATATCAGGAAAAAAGAGACAAGCTGGCCTACCGAAAGGAAAGCTACCGAACAAAGGGGACAATGTAATGTCATCCTAGCAACGATTAGACAGCTGCATTTTGCTTTTATCGGACGTCTGATCCCACTTCCGAAAACTTGCTCTGAAGAGCTCCTGCCCGATACAGCTTATCAGTTGCCAGCGGTTTCATCAGGAGCCCACAATAGGCATAATAGATGCAAGCACGGCCAACCACGCCTAGGGACTGTGACCAAGAGGAGCTTTAACTTGCCCACTTCTACAAGCCAGTCTTCCTTTTGTCAAGGACCCTGGTATTCTATTGGATGAGCGACAAAACCACCGCAAAATCGAAGCGACCCCCAAGTAAAAGCGTGCAAAGAGGCATACATAAATATAGCTTCGATAAATAAAACCGGCAAGCAAGGCGACACTTCGCAGATTTGGGTTCCATGTTGCGAGGCGTGCACGGGCACGGACTTCCTGAAGCAGTTGACGGAGGATGGTTCAGGGCAAAGGGTTCAGGGGTCTTTACGGTTGCTTTTCCTGCTCGAAAGATAGTGCACCAACCTAGTTTCCCCAGCGAGGCAAATCCCAACCAGGCCTCCATCTTAAGTACCGGTGCGAGGAAGTCTCAAGTCTAGTTCTGTCACGCTTCGACATCCTTCCTCACACAAGTCAGAGCTTCGCAGCCTCATGATGGGGACAAGCTACCACTTTTCTAGGCTTGTCTGTGGGTCCATAGACTGCTTTGCAATCCTGCGGATGCTAAACCAAGACGTTAGGGCCTGGGTCCTGTGCTTTCGTGGGCCATGCCCGTCCATGTCACTAGCAGGCTGCGACAGAAACGGCAGCTGTTGCCAATCAGTTATACACGGTTGCCAGAATCCTGTAACTATCCTGAAGCTAAACATGTCAAACAGCCCCATGGACCACCTCGAAGCTTGAACTTTGAGAGCATCTGGGCGGCCAGGATGCCGTGGCGAAAGGGGCACAAGTGCTGAACGCTGGATCCGGCGGCGCGCACTGCGACCGAACGCTCTTCGCACCGACGGTCTGCCCGAGTTTTTCCGTGGGGATTCGCTTGCCTTGCGTGGGGGTTGGATATCGGAGCCTGTTGGGGCTGTAGTCTGCCATGCCTTCGAGGTGTCCCTTCGAGGTGTCCCTAATTGACCAACTGAATTAAAGCTTACACGTGCGTGGACTGCCGTCCAATGGCGACATTCGACGGGTTTTCTCAGTGTTGAGTCCTCAAGGTTTTGAGGGATCACGATGTCAGTCTAGGCTACGGGGGTACTCCTGGCATTCAGACCCGACAGGCATGTAGATTTGCCACTACAGTCCACTCGATCTTAATGTTCACGCCCTGGCGAAGCCGCAGGTCCTGTACCCTGTGACCGCGGAGATGCAGTTGTGGACGGCCGAACAGTTCGGCCCCGTGATCCCCATCGAACTTTGGCTGCAGACTACAGCTGCATCCCGTCAACAGAGTTTTTGAATCGCGATGTAGATGTCGTACTCTACATGTATGTGTGTATACACAAACATCAATATAAGATATTGCTTGTAGAATAGGTAAATATATAATACTACATACATTGCGAGGTCCTCGCGGAGTGTGGCAAAAAGACCTGAAGACGCATCTGCATTGTGAAGACGCATTCGTCAAAAAAAGGCAAGACGCATGAGCAGGCGCAGGCGCATTCTGAAGACGCATTTTGAATACGCATTGGGTGGCGCAGATGCATTGCCAAGACGCATTGGGTGACGCAGACGCATTGCGAAGACACATTGGATAGGCGCAGACGCATTGCGAAGACGAGTTTGATAGGCGAAGACGCATTGTGGCGTAGCGAAGACGGCCTCAGAAGACACATTGCGAGGCTACGGCCCAGATAGGCGCAGACGCATTCCGAAGCCGCTTTGTTGCGACATAACGGGAACGAACAGAATGCGAGGACAGGTTCACATTTTGACATGCATGACTCGCATGACATGTGATTGAGCGTGGGTCTCGGAAGAGAACTGCTGTTAAAATCATGGGCTCTCCATCAGTCCAAGGCTCCATCCTGGGAGATCCAGGTTTGTAAGATACTGTGCACCCAACAGTCCATTGGTTGTTTGGCCAACAGGACCAAAACAACCCATCCCCCAACTCCATCTCCGTGCGTCCTCCTTATATATATATTTTTTTTGTTTATATATATATACATTGATTGATTGATTGATTGACGAGAGGAGCACGTACGGAAATGACTCTGTCTGTATCTTCGGTTAAAAGTACCGTAGGCATCCTCATTAGAGCTTGGTTAGAGTCCGCATTGCGTCAGCAATTCGGCTTCACCACCTAATGCAGCGTCAGCAATTCGGCGTCACCACTTATAATGTGGCGTCAGCAATGCGGCGTCACCACCCAATGCGGCATCAGGAGCCAGTCCGGCGTCACGACCCAATTCGGCGTCAGGAAACAATTCGGCGTCAGCCAATAAAGCAATGCGGCTTCAGGAATTCGGATTCGGCGTCAGGTCGTTCCACCACAGTCCCCCAGGCACCGGCCGTCTATGTATACACACATATGTAAACATACGTAAAAGTACGTGAACTAACAAGTAACTAAATGAATAAGTAGATGAACTTATTACGATAAGTGAACTGTATAATACTGTATATATTAAAAATAATAATGTATAAAACTACATTTGCTATAGTATGTTTTAATCTGGAGTTGGTACAGTATCGTCTAGTATAGTGAAGTGTAGGATGCCAGGATACTTCCTATAACGTATTACAGTGCATTCGATTGTGCAGCTTGGGCGATCCACTGAGGCCCCATACGACAACATCCAGGAGCCTATCGAATGGCTGAGAAAGCAAACGGGCAGCAAGAAACACCGACAGGCGCTGCAGCTTCTTTTCCTTTGCACCCTGTGGATAGGCTGCTTGAGCTGTGTTCCTTTGCTTGCGGATTCGCTCTCGCTTATCAATCTCCGTACTCATCGGATAAACAGCATGATGAAGGCCTGCGGTCTCATTTACCGTGATGTCTCATTCGCCAAACCGTTATTTTGTGTGCAGACCATACAAGCCCTGAAAGTGACAATGACGCCAGGGTACGTTGAGGGCCGCAGTATAGCTGAATTCCGGAGCTCCCGATCTCAGGATGCACTTTGGCCAGCAGACCGCCATCTTCACTTCGCAGGACGATCCGAAGACTAGGCGTTGTCGAGCGCCCTCCCTTGATAAAGCCTCCGAAACGTTTGTGCACCGGAGGATGGGGCCGCCCCGCCCTCTGCTGAGTTCGCAGAGCTCTTGGATGCCGCTGGGCTAAAGTTCAATAGAGTCGAGAATGGGCCGTTTGGGGGAAATCTGTATTTGTACCATATGCAGGTTGCTGAAGGTCTAAGCCCAGGGCATTGATGGGAGGAGTTGGGGAAGGTCTAGAAGGAGAAAAGTGACTGTAGTTGTTGTCTTGAGCAGAGTATTGAGTGACATTTTGGTCACTGCTAGCTGTGTAGACCCCAGAGCCATGCTGGCATCTCCTGCCGAGATGTGTGCGCTCTGCACCTGCCGGGTGAACATCAACGCGCAATGCCAGCCCGGAGCCCGGTCCGACACCAGGGCATGAGCCGTTGGGTTTCAGTACTGTTGATGACATAAATCCTGCGTTACCTTAAGGACCCTAAACTATGGGAATTATATGGTATATTCCTTATTAATATCATCAACCGTATCTCAGGCTTTATGGGTTAGTGCAGGCTGTAGTGCTTAAACGGAATGTCGCTGTAGAGTCTATGGTGATGACCTGGGCGCGAAGTCTTTCTTGGGAGGTGCAACCTTTGATCGACGAGGGGCCCACGTTGCAACGACACCTGCACGGCAATTCTGCAGAAGCTAAAGCTCGTGCCACATAAGGATTGAGTGTGAGGCACACAGCCATAAGAGAGGAAGCTGACACGAGGACTCGCCACGTTCTTAGTTTCGTGTTTGTCATTGTCTTAGCTCATCTCTGTCGCTGCCCTCTTCGCGCTTGCCTGCTCCAGCCTTGACTCGAGATTCCTTCCGTCCTTTTAGCCGATTCATCCAAGACACGGGCAGGATGAAAGGAATGACGACTTCTGAGTTACATGAACTTCTCGACAGCTCGGTAGGATTCATTGGTTTTGGAGCCAGGACAAGACGGTTCCTCTAGCCGGCCAGGTGTGGACCAGACGTGTATCCCTTTGCGGGCCGCCGCTCCTCTGCCTGGGCCTCAGCAACTTGTAAGGGTTTACAGGCCAACTCTTGTTCCTTGAGTGTGCTGCGAAGGGCTTCAGGGTGGTCTGCATCGCATCGCAGCCCCCTCAAAGCGCAAGCATCCCGTAACGAGGCCACAGATGCATGAAACGTGAGGAGTGAGGTCTGGAGTAGCTTACATATGGCATGGAACACGAAGATGCTCAGCAGCTGAAGGCGATGGGAACCATTTCGGTGGAGGAGGCAAGCTGATGCAAGCTTCATCTTGTCGACACTCCAACTGGAGAAACACGGAACATCTCGCCACCCTGAGCGCTCTAATGGCACCGGTTAACTGACGACGGTTCAGGATTTCAGATCCCGTTTTTTTGTTGAGTTTTCAGGACTTCGGCATGTGCAAGCTGTTCGCACGTGCTGCAGTAGTACGTATGCCCATGCAGGATGGTACTGGTATGTAAATGTAAGGAGTCTACGGGAGACAGGTTCGTTGCGATGAGGGATCCCTGCGCGAGCAGGTGCTGCGAGCTGTTAGCGTGGACACCATGATTGCCTGCAAGAATCCGGAGGCCCGGAATGGCATCCCTTTTCGGTGTTCCCAAGCCGCTTCGTTTTGGGGTAGGCGGGTGCGCAATGGTGGGGAATATGGAGTCTCGGACTTGTCAGCCTGGATTTGCACCATGAGCATTGCTACATGAATGCCGCTTCGTGCTGAAAGCCATTTCCGTATCTTCTGCACCTGTTTGAAGGCCCAAAATGACCAACCCACGGAATTAGATGGGCACCATCAATTACCTCAAGGCCTGCAGAACAAGAACCCGAGTCTCAGTACGGGCAGGTCCTGAGGCGTGCCGCGCAGGGCTCGAGTGTCTTCGCACGCTTTTGAGGCGAGGAAAGAGCTACTCAGGCTAGGATGAGTAGTGATGAAAAGGAAAGGCTGGGCGGCTAGGCATGGCCTTGCATTTCTCAAACCGCGCATAATAGTCGAACATGTGTCATCTGCATAGATAGAGAGTATAGTAGAAGGAGCGATGGTCATGTGGGGAAGCTCGAAACAAGAGTAGTGGCAAATGCAGGCAGTGTGACTTGCGCCGTAGCAATACTGGCAGCTCTTACACTCTAGTCTGTGTCTTCATCTGCAGTAGGTGCCCTTTTGGGGGTACCCAGGTCCTAGGTGTTTGCATTAATGACTTTCTAGATCCTTCTAGCATATCGAAACCCTCAGGAACCTTAAGTACCCAAGCGTCAGGGCACTTTCGATGTCTTCTTCTTGCACTTTGTTCTACAGAAGTTTCGGTGGGCTTTCGAACCTCGACTCAAGACATCGAGCCACTAGATTTTGGGCTTGAAAAGCAACTTCTGGGGCTTGAGCTTTCTGGCCAGTGTGCGATTTGCCTTTCTGCTGGGGTAGTCCGCGAAAAGAATCTTGAGAAATTTGCCCAAACGCGCAATGTTTAAAGTCGTTCAGGGAGAGCCTATTAGCGCCTTACAGCAAGCGAAGTGCCTTTGGAGTTACGTTGATTGAGATGCCATCTCTCAGTTGCACTCTCGCGGCTGTAAGCTTTGTGGTTGCCACACTTTACCGGGTGCCTGAGAAGCTGCTTCGCTCAGGCCGCCAGATGCCAAAGGGCGACGGCTCCAGAAACTTCGCGGAGCTTCGCGGCCTCCCAGAAATGGGGCTGTGGTGTTTCAGGCAGCTCCTTTCCAAGAAGCCAGCGTCCGCTGAGTTTTCCTATATTTTCCTTTAATTCGTTTCCTTTTCCCCTGCAGTTTTCACACTCGTGACAGCGCGTCACGACTGCAGCTCGTGCTCCAGCAAGGCAGATTTGGCGAAGATTCCAAATCCATTGCCTCGAAGCAGCAAGCTTAAGTAGCTGCTAGTCCTGTGTAGATTGCACTAAGACAAAGACTGTGCCTCTTGGCACCCATATGGGATGGGTGCCCCCGTGCCTATTCAGGCCCCACATCGTTAGGCGGGCACAGCCGAAACTGGATACGAATGTTCACGAAAATGTGCATCTGCTCGTGTTGCTGCATTGACGGCAGGAACATCTGACTGCTCTTGCATGATGCAGTCGGGTAGGCTGGTAGGCTCCCTCAATCGGCAGCCAGTCCTGTGTTGAGGTCTCCCTCGCGCTTTGTTGGCATGGTGATGGTGATGTCCCATGCTCTCCTGCAGGCTTTCCTCCTTAAGTCGCTGGTCTTGACCACGGCAGGCCCTGTTTTCAGATCTATGTCTCTTCGTGTCTCCACGAACTCGGCTTACACTGATTGTGGCCTTGCCATCTTATCAGCAGCGTGGTTCAGAACTCTACGCATCAGTCCGGGGAGTCATTGTGATCAGCAAGCGAGATCTGCAAGATTTCTCCAAAAGAAGCTGCAACCAAGCTGTCATACCCCATGATCGCTGAGCACCTGCACTGGAGGCATTACAATTAAAGGAGTAGTGCGCGCACAGCGCCATGGCGGACGCATGTTGGGGCGGAGAAAGCCCGTCCGGGCCTTGAATCAATCTTCCATTATAGGTTATTTTAGTCTACGACACTAGTTAGTATAGCAGAGCATCGCATAGTATAGTATAGTTTATCATTTGAACTTATACGTCTCATATACCCGAAGGAGGTGCCCACTACCATGTCAACGTCTACCCGAAGCTGCCAACCCCTGGCAGGTTCTGAACCTTAGGCCCGCAACGCCCTGAAGCCTTTTCAACTGTGACCTGCAAAACCCCAAAACTCCGGAATCCCAAGTCCATTTTCTCGAACCTGCATGCTGATCCCTGCTGAACTTCGAACTGGCAGTGCAGGTGTCTGGGAACCAGGGCTGGATCCTTCAACACGAATGCCCAAACCCTTTGAGACGTGCACTGTACTACATAAAGTTACTATAGACCTAGAGCTGCAACAGGAACTCTAGCCATAAGATGCCATAAGTATAACTACGATTGCAACAGGATCTGTAGCCATAAGTATAACTACGACGGTACTACAACTGTCGAGCCCGAGGTGCCTGGGCTCCCCAGCATTGGCCCTCGCCTCCACCCTTCGAGGGCACCAGCGACCTATGCTCGCAGTGCTTTGGGAGGACTCCTATTTCTTTCTAGTAGATTTTTATGATTCTAGTATAGATCTTTATGATTCTAGTAGATCTTTATGAGGGGACAGGAAAAACTGACTAGGAAAGAACTTCGGGGCTCCTGGAGTTGAAGCTGCTCGGAAGGTTTCTGCCAGTTCCGTAGTTTCAGGCCCTGTGTCTGAGGGGTTGAGGCACGTCTTATCTTCGTCGTCAACGAAGCAATCGGTTTAGCGGGTAAATACCGATAGATGAACAAACGCTTGCAGGATGTTCCTTTGTCTGGCACTCAGCTGGAAGCTTCAGCTTATGTCGTGGACATGGAGCCTGATTTAACATGGCAGCCGTAGGCAGCTGAAGCAGTTGCTGCTTTAGGGATGTCCATCCCTTCAGCCTCCCAGTAACAGAAATCACGCGACCAGGCCGGCAAAGGAAACTACTTTCTGGGTGCATGCCCCAGCCGATCTTCTGAGATCTCTCTCTATCCATCTCTCTCGCTCTCTCTTTGGCTCTCCCTCTCTCTCTCCTATTTCTGACCGTGTTTCCAATTTGTTATGACCACAATGCATGCCCGGAAGAAGGTTACGTCGGCATGTGCTACCTGACGACAGGAAGCTTTGATTCCCCCGGTGTGGCTGGTGGAGAAGTTGAAGACTCCGAGTCAGAGTCAGAGTCTAGTGTCTCTACAATAACTACAACCGGACTCCGACTATCTCCGACTCCTGACCTGAGAGACCCGTGCCCACTGGACAGCTGCTCTGCCCTGCCAGCTACAGTTTGCAAGCGCGTAAAGGCCTGGCCGTCTCAGATGGCACAAGCGGTGATCGCGGCCGCCCCCGCGGAAAAGGCGCAGGGTGTTGTGGATGCCATGGTCATTGAAATTGATTAGTCGAAGTTTCAATGACTCAACGTCGCAGCGCCCCTGCCCGGACCTGCTTGCTTTCCCTTTTGGCGAAGTTCCGAGAATCCTTGGCCAGGGAGAGCTTGGACCCTTTGCCTCCACGTGCTCGCCTCAAACTGCCTCCTTTTGCCTTCACAGGAGTTCGGAGCACCCAGGGGCCGTTTCGATAGTTGGACTCAGGCTTGCGAGCTGTAGCAGCAGATCTCTCGAACTGAGGATCGCTGGACTTGTTGGACGCGAGAAGGCTCGTAGAACTGCCTCGTAAGAAGCAGGCTGCACACGCGTAGATGTAGATGCAGGATTGAGACCTGCGCTTTGAGAGGGTCCATCGTAGCACTGCCTTCTATCATACATGGAGCCATTCCATCCAGCAAGTTAGCCACAGCAGCTCGTGTTATACGAAAGAACACCGGTAATTAGTGACCAGTGCTACACACTGTTCGACAAAAGGCTACTTGTACAACTATGCTGTGCCAATACGCGGTGCATGGTTGTACGCTTCTAAATGCTGGACCGCGCTGCCATGTATCGCGTGCCTCAGTCTTGTAGCAGTCTGCTCCTATGTTGTCGTGAGAAGTCGAATCGTTCGTCTGCATCATGATATGGTATCAGACAGTCCTTTAAGCCCACCTCCACAACCAACAATCTCTCACACAGACACAGGCATATCTCACCACCCGTTTGAGGCCGCTGATCTCCTCGCCGACATCGTGGGAGCCTCAGATTCGCACCCAAATTCACGTGCAAGCCGGGTCATGGGACCGGAACAGCAACGACCTCAAGAAGATGGCAAGCCGACTCTGTAGTTCTCATGCCTTGGGTTTCAAAGAGGATTTGTGTGGATAGCCGAACATGTACAGACGCGAGAGGGCAGAAACGCAAAGCTGCCTGCTGCTAAGCAAGTGAAGAGAGGGACACAAACTCGAACGTCTGTTCGCCGGTTCAGCTCAAGCCTGCCAGGCCTCAGATACGGCCAATAGCCGCGCGTGGGCATACTGGCATGAGCCTCAGAGGGTCTTGCACACTTGGGCTTGGTGAAGCAAGGGAGCCGACAGACACAAGAGCAGACCCCCGACTTCAGTGCTTCTCGCTGCTCGCTGGGGTGCAGCATGGTACAGCAAGGTTCCCAGCTGACGCAAAGGCCGGAAGTGGCTCAACAAGGGGCAAGAGCTCCAGGGAGCTTCGCCTATCTATATCATCCCATGTCCAAGCTGTGTCACACATGACTATGTCCACTATGTTAACATCGCGAGTCATGAATCCAATCCAGCCCATGTTCCGATGGCAGGTGCAGACAGCGGAAACCATCTGGGAGGCCTTAGCTGCAGAAGCTTCGGACTATTGTTATTATCATTATTATCATTTTATAATTATATATAGTTATATACTACATGTAGCCCGGCAAGCAGCTTGAAGCTGAGCATGGTCACTGGACAGTGCGGCTGTTCAGCATGATGGCAGGCTCCATGTTACACCCGCATGCGTGCCCGTTGCAAAAACAGGAATCCCCAGCTGCAGGCTCTGGAGATCCGGTCTTTCAAGCTGGAGGAAGGCTGTGAGGAAGGCCTGGGTCTCCATGTACAGGTCGCCGAACTTGTGAATTAATGTCTCCTAAATCGTGGTAAAGCGTCATTCGCAAGGCAGCATCGAGGTGGTGTCATGCCACTTAACAGCTGTGGAGAATGACAGAAAACTGAAGTGCAGGAGTTCCGAGTCGCCAATTCCGATCTCTTTGTGCCATCGCTCGCAGCCCATCCAAGGCCGCTCCGGAAGTGAGTGCTTCCCTACTTTCTGATCCGTATTGTTCGGTGCTGCTTTCGTCTGGGCTTGTGCGGGTTAGATCGCCTCCGGCCTTTGTTCCCGAACACTTGAGACTCAACAGGCCACCGGACCCCTTAGCGCAGACCAACCTCACCTGAACTCTCAAGTGCTGCCCAGAGAAGCCTCAAGCTCTTGCCCAGAAGCCTCTCGCCGATGACGCCGCGGCATCCTTCTACGCTCGGGAGCGCTTTGTTCAGCTCTTAGGATCTGCAGCACACCCCCTGGAATTAGGGCTTGGGGGGAAGGCTCGACTAAGCCAAGCTGTTTTTCTAGCTTTGGAGTTCTGCGTGGGCGAGGCTTGAAGGACTGCAGTGGGATGTAGATGGATGTAGCCTGGCTTCTCTGTCGAGCTGCTAATCTTCTGCCACCTCGCCCAGGCTCAGGCTCACGAAGCCATGAAGCAGCTTGCGGTCATGGCCACGAGGCGGTGGAGCTGCAGCAAGTCTCTGTTCCACGCGCTTCACCTGGTGGGACGAATATGTTGACGGTCCGGAGCCCCCTTACAGCCAGAAGCTGACGTTCGGGCTCCCTTCCGAAGCCTGGCACACTATTCACAGCTCGAATCGTTATTTGTGCCATCACTAGCGCGGCATCAAAGCAACGGCTGCGACGACGCCCGATTCACCTCCCTCAAGCCGACGACCCCATGCATTCGACTCCAGCCTTCGGGCTTCAGAGTATGAAAATGCCAAGTAACCGTCGTCCAGTCCTCGGTCCCGAGCAGAGTTTGTAGCCTGCAGAGAAGGCATGGTAACGAAGAGTGTGGGGAGTGTATATACTATTTGGGTACATGGACCCTTATACCCTAAAAGCCCTATAGAGCCCTTAAAGGGACCCTTATAGAAACCGTACTAGTAGTGTTCCGACGCAGACCTGCCTTGTTTCAGGAACCTCAGCTCGGCGCCAAGCCCGCATGTCGAAGGCCTAAATCCGGGGGTTGGAGATTCGAGTGAGTGCCCCGAAACTTGCACGTGAGGTCCCTACGACGCCCAACGAAATCTATTCTCTGAAAACGTTGCTTGAACTTATTGTGCAGATTCTTCTGCTTGGGATTTCGTTGCATCAGCTGCTCCTTGCTTGTCAGGGGTTCTGGATTCCGTGCGCTTCCGCGCGGAGCTCTTCGATCAGGAGGTGTTTGGTGCTCCCTTGTGGGACGGTCGGAGTAAGCCAACTTGAGTCTGCGGCCTGGGAGGTCTTCAGCACTTCGGCCATGTCCTGTGCCAACTTGTCCTCAGCCCTGGCCGCTGCCCCAAGCCATCCTTTCCTGTGCCGCTGTGGGTGTTTGCAAACCCTAGAGCTGGCTATAGCATGCTAAGCGAAGTTGCGGGAATTGATCGTTGTTTCAGCTATGAACAGGCTGTGAGCTACCGTCGGCATTGCATTATGTGTGCATCAGGTCTCGCTGACATTGCCTCAAGGCTCGCGTCGCGGGCACGTTGTCAGCGTGCAGCACATCCTTTGAGCAGCACTCGTCGTGTTCGAGCTTATTCTGTCTGTTCCGAAATGGCATTAACTCAGAGACCGAGGCCTTGTCGCATTGGTGGATTCGTGGCCTCAAAGCAATGATAGGCTTTGCAGCACTCTTGATTCTATCCCAAGTCTGCCACAAGTAGCGGACGAGCCATACTAGCACCTTCCCCTGCCGAGAAGGATTCTAGGTTCGGCTCAGGTTAAGCCGCGCGATTTCGGAAGCCCATGGAAGCCCTTTGACTTTGTGCACCGTTTCAGGCTGTCGGTCACTCGAAGCGGGGATCTACGTTGCCATGCTTGAAGAGGAGCGGTGCTGTCGGGAGACCTGCCACTGTTGGGCCGGACTGCGCATGAATGCGCATGGATACGGAGCTCAAAGACCACCAATCATGCAAGCCACAGTCTCCCAGGTAGTGGCGAAGAGAGTTTAGTCTGGATGTGGCAGGTGCGGCACGCTGACGTGCAAAGGATCAGGATCTAGGAACATCTATAGGAACACAATGGCAACAGTAACTGGCAAACAGCAGCGGAATAGGCAGAGGCCACTGTGCAGAGTCGTGTCCATGCATCATGAGAATCACGCTCATGAGAGCACGATGGTTATTGTTGCTTTATCATTTTGTTTATTCTTAATCTTGGTATTACGATAATGATTAAGGATGTTAGTATGTTGATATTATGACCACCGCGTTAGTAACCGTTAGTAGCATGTCTTCCTTTAAGACACTCCCTCACAGCCCTCACACGCTGCAGGACATTGGGGCCCTGGTTGCGATCTGCGCCGCGGGCTGCTCACCAGTTCGGGGTCCGAGCACTGGTGCTAACATTGGCCACTTTGCGCTTCCGAGCACCCCAGGCCTTGCAGTTGTCGGGTGTCCTCAATTTGCCACGAGGTTTTCCTCCGTGGGGCGGCGTTTTCAGGTCGGCTTAGCTCTGGAGTCGGGGTTTTGTCAAGGATCTTCATTTAACACACTTTTGGCTCGTGAGACTTACAGTCGGACGCCTCCTGCACAACGCCTGGACGACGAGGCTGGTCGAGAAGCTTCGAGACTCCTTGTGCCCTGCACCCGAAAGTTGAAAGCCTCTGACCACTTCGCAACCGGAACTTCTGAGTTTGGGGGCGCGTGCTGCACGGTACCTTGGAGGCCTCAACAGCATGATATTCTGTTTATTCATGAATGGTGCTTGTTTTTCGGAACAGTGCCTCGGTGAAACACATGCGCTCTGCATCTTCAGCCGTGAATTGGGGGGCGGGGGCGCAGGGAGCAATGAACAACAAGACAGGAATTGGTGCCAGGCTGCAAAATTGGGCCAAAACACGTAATTCATGCTATTCTGCTTTTGTTAGGCAATATCGTACAGCGTGTTCCAGAATGTCCAACGCGGAGCTGAAACCCTGACTCGAGGTCTTGAAATGTCTTGAATCTTGAAGCAAGTCCCAAAACACTAAGCCCTATAATCGTGGTAGAGCCCCGGTAGATCCCTGATCAGAAACCCTTTAAAACACAAGTCTCTCCAAGGATGATAACACTCGTTGGAAACCTTTGGGAGGTCCCTGACCATGCAGCTAACACCAGCCGCTGCTCCTCTTCCGGCAGCTGTGCGGCGCTTGGCAGAGCATTTGCTCGTTTTGATGAATCTGCGGAGATTTCTCCAAGTTCCAGAGCTTGTTTTCCTGACAACTGCAAGAAGACTGACTGCCTTCTCAATGGATTGCATGGATTTGTGCATCGGCGCCCTGAGGTGGTTCCAGCTGCACTGCGTGTCCCATGTAGCGTTGCGCCAGTCTCTGCACGGCCGAAGGCAGGAACGTCTTACAGCAATGCTGGGTTGCGGCCTTTGGGTGCAAGCATGATGCAGAGAAGTGCACAGAGATATCTTACGGATTAAACCGGGGGGTGTCGTCATGGTGCAGAGACCATTTGAGACCTCTTCAGGATGGAGCATCATGTGCCATCGGGGCAGCTGCAGCCCTCGCAGCTGCCTCTTATGTGCGAAAGGCACGTACCGCGAATGTGGGCCGCGACTTGGAGCTGCACTTGAAGTCCCTATCAGGAATTGTTGAGCTGGGTACATAGGGTTTAGGGTTTAGGGTTTCCGTAACTATTGCACTAACGGTAACTCTCATAGTGGGATTGAGATGAGGTTGGCAGCAGATGCCTCAGCACCAGGCGGCCGAGGATAGCGACAAGAACAAGTCGAGCCTCGGCCAATATAATATCAATATAGTAGTAGGCAGTTACTATGCTTCATGACAGCAAGAACATAGTACCATGTACTTTATTAATGATTAAGAATAACACATATAGCATTAGTTACTAATTTATAATGATATCACAATAGCAAAGACATAATAAGACTAACTACTACAACAAAATTGTGATAATGTACATAGAACACAAACAAGATGTATGTAACAACACAAGAGCATACTCATAAATGTTCATTTTAACATGACAAAATCATAGTCAGCATAACAATTCATGGCACCAGTAGTAAAAGAAGTAGAAGGATAACATTGATAAGAACAGACAATACCACTATCAGTGCTGCTACTAGTACTACTAGTACTAGTACTAGTACTACTACTAGTACTACTACTACTACTACTACTACTACTCCTGCTGCTGCTGCTACTAGTAGTAGTACTGTAGTAGTAGTAGTAGTAGTAGTAGTAGTGGTAGTAATGAAAATAAAGACAACACTAATAGCAGTAACAACAAAAATGATGATACTAATAATAGCCATAAAACATAGTCACAATAATAAGGACTGTTTCCAAGACAACAACAGAAATGACACAGACAATGACAATGACAATCACAACAACACTCACAACAATAGCAACAACAGCAACAGCAACAGCAACAGTATCATCACCAGCAACAAGAGCAACCATAACAGCAAGAGCAACAGCAACAACATTAGTTCATTTGTAATAATGACAACAAGCGGAAGACTGCTCATAGAAATAGTAACCATAGTAGCAACAGATTATATAAACGCCTGCGCAATTAGCGATGCCATTCCTTGTGTATCCTTGTAATATGTACTGCATTAACACTATACTGTACCCAATTATCAAGGTCCCTATATCACCGCGTGGTGCACGGGGTATCGAAAGGTTGGCACTGCAGTCGAGTTTTGCAATGTCTCGTTGGGAAAAGCTAGCTGTGTGGAACCTTGGTTTGGTTTACTGGAGACATGTGACAAGCCAAGTCACACCATGCTGCTCAGATATTCTGTTCAGGCGTACGTACAGCTACTGACCAAGAGTGCCTTCTGTCGATTTGATGTCCATCAAATCAAATGTCTGCCACCAACCCCGAACTCTTGGCAGTGCAACGATGGTCACGCAGTCTGAGCTTTTCGTGCTTCCCGTAAGGCCGGTACGACTTGTCTGGCTAGCTGTCCGGATCTCCACTATAGTCACTATATAGTTGTAGAAGAAAGCGTAGCAGCTTGTGCTAGTTGCAGGCCTCATTGCCCGACTCCCCTGAAGTCTCTCACAGACCTACCCCTTCGGCGCGGGATGCCGCCAAATATGCTGCCTTCTTGAAGGCCGGGACACTTTCGGTCTGAAAACAGCCGGCAATGAGACGCACGCACGCACGCCAGCCAGCGCGTGCGCTCGCACGTCCGCACACACCTACACTCACCCACACACCTACACATATACACACGTACACACACCAACACACCAAAAAATCACCAACACCCACACACACACAGACACAGAGACAGACATTCTCTCTGTCGCTCGTCTCTCTCTCGCTCTGTCTCTGCCTTCCTTCAGCGCTTTTTCAGTATTTGCGATCGTGGGTGGATGTGCCGCACCTGTGTGTGTGATTGCCTTGTCCGACTCTGCACTTGCAGAAATTCGCCAACAAGTATGGAGAAGGCTCCATCATCGGCCGTGGCCTTGGTCACTACCATCCCATGCGTGGCTGTTGTGAAGCAGATGAACTGCGGACTATCTGCTTGGAAAAGGAGCCTTCCTGAAACCCAAATTGAGCCACCTCCTGCATCCTTCATGGCACCTGCAAGCTACGACGAGCAAGACTCTCCCAAACTCAGCATGGGGGGAAGCTCAGCCCTGCGGAATCCGAGATATGAACAAGATGACGGCGGATGTGCCAACGTTCTCTACAGGCCGAGCAAAGCTGCTCCAGAGTCGCTGAAGCCTAGCTAGAATATGCTAGAAGCTAGCTAGAACTACTACTAAATGTTACTAAAGTCCGTACATCGCACGCAGGCTGCGGGCACGAAATTTACAGAGCAGACCCTCAAACAACGCAGTTCAGCCTGAAGGTGCCCTTACGCTGGACATGAAGCTGGGCGGCGGCTTACCTTACGGTCGGATGCTGGGATTCACATTGATGAATAACTGTTGAGATGGGGCTTGGTTGCTGCAGCGAAACCAATAGTCTGCTTATGCTTGTGCAAGGGGTGTCTTACGCATTGACAAGGAGCCTCAAGCCCTCAATGCCTGGACCTTCCAACAACGGGGATGCAAGCGAACCATGGGCTCTGTCTTGATCACAACGATGCTCTCAAGGATTGTTGAGGTCTTCGGCCCGGAGCAAAGTGGCAAGACAACCCTTGCACTGTCTTCCGCGCACCAGGTGGGACTGAACCTGGTGGTGTGTTCGTGTGAAGGATTTATCTCGGAAATAAAATGGCATGCATGCGCTTGCATGATAGTGCCTGAGAGTGCGTGGGATTTGTGCTGTTGCCTGAATCTGTTTTTATCATTCGGCCATAGAGAGTCGATTTCTAAAGCGCTGATATGCTTGTCTTTGGCAATTTCATGACGCTGTTATCATAGTTACACCATTGCCTGCAAAGATTTCTCCACACAGGGTGTCCTGTTAAGCGACATCGTAGAGGTGCAGAAGCACGGCAATCGCAAGCGCGTGGCCTTCATCGATGCTGAGCAGGCTGGTGCAGATGCCACCGGTATTTCAATTTCGGATCTCCAGGTAGATGTGCTCGGTTGTCGCGCAGCCACAGGTCCTTTGTTGCTTGCCTTTGGGGAGTCGGTACAAGCTGCGGCGCATCGTCAGGGTCTGTGAAATTCGCTCCGGAGTGCAGCTTGGATATGAGCTGTCTGTTCAAAATGCACTGCGCATTCCGGAAGCACGGATTCGCTCTAGTCTAGGCCTCCCCGTCCTCCTCTTGAATCAACGGCCGTATTCCAGGGCATGCAGACCTACAGGACTCCTGAAGAGATCGCAGGATTTTCCGGCTTTGGCTTTTACGTCACAGCAGCTTTGAAACTGTAATGGAGGCCAAGGCCTCTGGAGACCCGCAGTGGCCTGTTGTAGTCCGTCAGCTCCGACGATGGAGAATTGCCCGTACATGTTCCTATAGTTTTGATCATAGGAGAATCTCAAGTTACACCATGTTGAAACGGCAGGGACACACAGACGCAAGAGCACTAAAGCCCCATGCTTGCTGACAGGCGTTGGACACTCACTATGCACAGGCAATGGGCATCGATATGTCTCAGGAGCCAACCTGCGGTTTCAAGCTTGACGGCATGCTCGATGTGGACCTAGTAAGGTAAAACTGGAGCGGCGAGCTGCCACTGAAGCATGATAGGGGAGCTGAAGCGCAGGAGCACTTCAGATTGATCACCGCGGGTTTCGCTGAGGAGGCGAATGCTGATGGCCCAATACTTGATGACCTGATCTCCTCAACAAAAGGTTGTTGGTGAGTGGTCGACGCAAGCAAAGCATTGCTGCTTACTGCTCCAAGTTGCACTGTGAGTGCTGGCATTGTGAAACTCAGCTCTTTGTCATTGTCGAGCTTAGCTATTGATCCTGCGACCAGCTCGCTGTACAGCAGAACACTACCGTGTATAGGATAGACTTCAAGCAAATACACCACCAGGACACCCATGGAGAATCACGGCGACAGTGAGCAGCAAGACGATGTTATCTTGCCAGATAAGCCAGACCAACAGTGGGTAACATAGCCCTGCTTCCTTCTAATCTGCCAAGCCTGAGAGGCATGCGACCAGATGCTTGATGCTATTCAATCCGGGCCTCGCAGCTGCAGCAAAGAGGAGCATGGAGTTGCAAACAGAGCCCCTGTGTAACTAGTACTTCCCGGAGCAGCACTGCAATGGATGCCTGAACAGGATCCAAACGGTTTTTGTGCACATCTCGCGTGCAGGCTGCATGTCTTGTGTTTGTGCGGCACTTTAAAGGGGTCAAAGTCTTCGCAATTATTGATGTATTGTTCACTTCCGATCTGCGCTTTGTGGCAAGTTCCGTGACTGCCGGAAACTTCTGTGATCCCGGATCCCTGGAACTGCCGTGCGAGCATCAAGAAGATGTAAGCACCTCGGCTTCGTTTCTGCTCCAAGGTGCTTCGACCTCGTGGTCCTGGACAGCGTGGCTGCCCTCACTCCAATGGAAGAGTTGGAGAAGGATATGACACAGGCTTGGTGCTCACGGTGACGGAGTTTCTCATTTTCGGGATGTGGGCTTATTCGGCCCTGTGGCTCAATTTGACAGAACACCATCGGGCTGAAAGCGCGGATCATGAGCAAGTTCCTGCCGAAGGCTGCGCATCTTGGCCACAGCAGAACCCAACATCCCTACAGTGCCCTGCAGCCCGACCATTGCCCTTCGCAGGCAGATTCACGTGCGAAGAATCTTGCTGCTGCTCTGGAGCCGTGGCTGTCGCCAAGGAAGTATGCTGCAGACTCGAACACTTGCCTGCTGATGATCAACCAGACCAGAGCCAACATTGGAGGCACGACTTCTTAGAGAATCTACCGTGAAGGCGGACATTGTCATGCGATAACACATTCCATGGGCTTCTGTCGTCAGGCTATGGAAGTCCTGAGACGACTTGTGGTGGTAAAGCGCTGCCGTATTTCGCAAGCATGCGCTTGGAGGCCAAACCCCATGGCCATGGTCCAACAATAGTAGTAAGAGTAGCAGTAATAGTAGTAGTAGTCGTCGTCGTCGTAGTAGTAGTAGTGGTGGTAGTAGTAGTAGTAGTAGTAGTAGTAGTAGTAGCGGCAGTAGTAGTAGTAGTAGTAGAAGAAGAAGTAGTAGTAGTAGCAGTAGTAGTGGTGGTGGTGGTGGTGGTAGT